TTGTTCAGTCGCACAGTCGAGTCCGACTCTTCGCGACCCCATGGACGAGCTCTCTCCAGGCCTTCCGGTCTTCTGCCGTCCTCTGAAGTTGGCTCAACTTCATGTTCGTTGCATCGATGACACTGTCTAACCATCTCATCCTTTGCCGTCCCCGTCTTCTTTGACCTTCAATCTTTCCAAGCATCAGGGTCTTCTCCAGTGAGTGCTCCCTTCTCATTTGGTGGCCAAAGTATTTGAGCTTCAGTTTCATTATCTGGCCTTCCAGGGAACAGTCAGGGTTGATTTCTTTGAGGATTGACTGATTTGATCTCCTTGCAGTCCAAGGGACTATCTTCTCCAGCAGCACCATAATTCAAAAGAATCTATTATTCGGCGTCAGTCTTCCTTATGGTCCAACTCTTGCAGCCATACATTACTACTGGGAATACCATTGCTTTGACCATGCGGACTTTTGTTGGCAGGGTGATGTCTCTACTTTTTATCATGCTGTTTAGGTTCGCCATCGCTTTCCTCCCAAGGAGCAGGCGTCTTTTAATTTCATGGCTGCAGTCACAGTCTGCGGTGATCTGGGATCCCAGGAACGTGAAGTCTGTCACTACTTCCACAGCTTCCCCTTCTATTTGCCAAGGAGTGATGGGGCCGGATGCCATGATCTTAGTTTTTTTGATGTTGAGCTTCAAGCCCACTTTTGCGCTCTCCTCTTTTACCCTGAGCAAGAGGCTCTTTAGGTCCTCTTCACTTTCTGCCATTAGAGTGGTATCGTCTGCATATCTGAGGTTGTTGATCTTTTCCCCCGCAATCTTAATTCCTGCTTGTGATTCATCTAGGCCAGCATTTCGCATGATGTACTCTGCATATATATTAAATAAGCAAGGTGACAGTATACATCCTTGTCGTACTCCTTTTCCTATGCTGAACCAATCAGTTGTTCCGTATCCGGTTCTAACTGTCGCTTCTTGGCCCTTATACAGGTTTCTCAAGAGACATGTGAGGTGGTCTGGTACTCCCATCTCTTTAAGGACCTGCCATAGTTTGTTGTGATCCACACAGTCAAAGGCTTTAGCATAGTCAATGAAGCAGAAGTAGATATTTTTCTGGTACTCTCTTGCTTTCTCCATAATCCAGCGAATGTTGGCAATATGATCTCTCGTTCCTCTACTTTGACTTGGTAGCTAAAATAGAATTCATTCTGTGTGTGTGTGTGGGAGGATGTTTGGCAGGGGAGAGGAGAACCGACTCTTTGGAGTTTGCAGGAGGGTAAAGGCGCTCACAGGTGTCCTAAACTTTGGGAGATTTATGATATAAAGCTTGAATTTATACTGTCCCCAAATCTGTGTCCAGAAGGCCAGGTTCGGAGGACTGCTGATTCTCTCCTAATCCTCAGCAATGTTAATTGCTCCAAGATGATTGTATATCTTCTGGGGTTGTCCCTTTGGAAGGGAAGGGGGTGTCAGAAATCAGATTAATTAAATAAATTCTTTCGGTATATAACCCCTATTGAAAACAAGGAGGCCCGGGGGTCAAGGAGGCATGTTTTCTGCTTGTTGGCTTGGAGGAGACAACAGCCAATGAACCCCCTGGGGGTCTCTTAGGAACAGCTCTCAAGGACGGGGTGTGTGTTGTATTTGGGATGGCCTTGGGTGTTAATGCAACGCTTCAGAAAGAAAATGGGGATTAAGTTTATTGCGAAGAAGCGGGTCTCAGGCTGAGGATGGACGCTGACCTGGAAAGGAGCCCCACTGAATGTAATAGGGCTTGCTCAGGAGTAAAGAAGTGGGAGTGTCACCCCGTGGGAGGGGAATCCCATTGAACTCAGTGGAATTTACTTCCGGGTAAACGTGCTTCGAAGAGGGCAACATGGATCGTGTCTTTTCGGCGTTCCTATCCTCCTCCCCCTGTCTCGTCTCGCGTCTCTCTTTCTCTTTTGCAAATGTGCACTGAATGAAGGAAGCGGAGAAAAGGAAATCGAGGGCGATCTAATGAATGAAATGCATCGACGCCTGGATCGAGTGGTACAATCGATTGAGCTAACCGGAAAGGGGGGGGGAGTATATAAAAACAAAACGCCCGATCCTGCCAAAGTCAAGCCCTTCTCCGGAAAGTTAAGCACGTGGCCCCGCGGATTCTGCTGCGGCTGGGTCCTGCCCGCTCTGCTCCCTTGTGACTTAGGATCGGGCCCTTTAATTTTAAATAACACCCCCCCCCATCACGCTGAATTTTTTTTAAAAAATCACCATTTCAGACACGGTCTGAACCTCTTCATAATTTCCCTTTCTCCTTTCCCATGCGGAACTTCTTCCACAGTTTTCACAGTCGAGAAAAGAGACCCTCTCCCCCTTTCCCTTCCCTCGGAGGTCTTTTTGAACACTGACCGGGGGGGGGGTGTCTTTAACATCGGGGCGCTCCTTCAAATGCCTGCCCCGCTCAGCTCTGGAGGGGCTCCTCGCCTGCTCTCC